TGCTCTTTTGCCCCATAGGGTTCTATGCACAACTAAATCCATTTACGGATCAAAGAGAGATAAGGAATTTCATACACTTTCATTGTTTTGTGTACACCCTGCTATGGATGTCGAAATTCAAAAGATGGCAATATTTCACACAATTTTGTTGTTAAAAGAAACATTTGTGAGCACAGAAACAACGTGAGGTGGTAGAGAATTCCAAATACGGGGCACTCTGAGAGCAAATGAGTGATGTCGGCATTCTAGTCGATGGTTTTAGTGTAGCCATTTGAATGAGTGCCCCATGTGGTGAGTGTTAAGCGACAAGGTAAACAGTGAAAGACATGAGCGATCAGGGCCCTGCATTATTTGAAATCTAGTCACCTCGAATTCGGCGATACTGTGTGGTACAGCCTGAGTGATTCCACTGTTTCCATATAAGTCTTGAAATGCAGTCCAGTGGAAATTCTTTATGGACGTTCCAAAAGCTTAAGATAGCATTGCAGTCATGAATTCCACCCTTGGATGGTGTACTCTATGTGAGGCAGAATATAGCCTTGCAACAAAAGTGGGAACAGAAAAGGTTCGAATTTGCTCGCTTTAGCAAACCAACATATCTGGCAGCGGTGGACGATGCCCTAGAGCAGCTTAAGGAACACGTTAGATCGTATTGAACAATAACTCTAAGATCCTTCTCATTGGAGGCATACGGAAGTTATTGACATCCCAGGAAGTACGGAATTGGAGTTTTGTGGAGAGGGATTCGACTGCACTTTTCGATGCATTTAATTCTGTTATTTTCGATCGACTAATGACGAGCAACATAAAGTGTTATCAGAAGCCCCAGTGAGTTCTCAGGTTTTGCCACCGATTTCCAGATTTTTGCATCGTCTACAAACATGAACGTTTGTGACCCCGGAACGCCCGTTTATTGTCGATAAAACTGTTTGATAGTCAACTAAAGACACTCGAAAGCTGTTTCTTTTCACTAACCCTTTCCGTTTCCCTGGTTAAATTCAAACGGCAGAACTTCAAGATAGGAACCACAACTCATATGCTTGAGTTGCGTGGTCGAGGTGCAGTAATTGCTGGTGTATGGTGTCAGTGAATTTTGTATTTCAATGTGCCGTTCGTGAGAGAGCTTGTTAAGTATCAAAGTTTATGTGATATCGTTTTCCTCAGACCACCATCGCATTCCGGTTGCAACTAGTACATCTAGCACGCAGAAATGGTCTTATTTGAAAAGACATGGCTCGAATCGTGCCGGGTAGTTTGTACCCAGTACAGCTGCCAAATTACATACAAATAGTTTTCCTCCCATTTATGTGCCTGACCCTATTCATCTATACACTCAATACGATATGATAGTGCACGGAAGTCCTCTTGGGATAGCTAAACCTAGGTCACAGAATTAATAACTGCGCTGTACAGTGGAAGTGCTTAATGTAAGAAACACGATTGTTAGAACTGCAGTGTAAATTTCATTGTCAATGACTGGGATCCGTACAAAAACACCTGAAAACCGGATATACTTTCGCAAATGAAAAGGTTATCACCTGCTTGTAATTTGAGTTGACTGTGCCAGAACTGACGATTGAGATCTGGAGAATTTGTGTATTGCATCGTGTTGTGCAGTAGCGCAGACGTTCAAAGGTAGCCCACGCATCTGTGTAGGCTGGAAACAGAAATTTTATTTCCATATGATTAAGTCTCAATTGGAGATTAGTATAATAAAAAAATGCACCTAATTTACCGCGTTGATTACCTCAAACTGGGAGCGAATACATACCACTGTGAGAACATCAAACTGCATCACTGATCGCACTCAGTGCCACTCTCCGAAAATCGGTTGAGGAAATTCGCTTCAAACTGTGAGCCAAGTGTTTTGCTTGAGGGTGTAGCACATTCGTTTCCCTCGGAGCTCCAAGTCATTTGAGGTAGATTGGTATAGCTTCTCAAATTATTCGTGAGTCGTTGAATGTCGGTAGTAGAAATGCATAATCATTTTCATTCAGCTGTATGCGAATGAAAGAAGCACAGGTGGCCAAAGACAAATTGTGGACCTTGAAATGGGTTCAAGACTGGTAAAAACAAATACATACACGGCAAATAGAAAGAGTATTTGAATGAAAAACAATGTGACGGTCTCTTTACTGAAAACATTGCCCTCGTGGATGACCTAAGCAAAAGTCCCCCCCCCCATATTTGGATTTCCTTTGTGATTAAACCACCAAGCAAGGAAAGCAATTGTTTGATTTGAATTTCATAACTGAAACAACCTTCAGAGTTTCACAAATTCTTGTAAAAGAATAATTGTGAGAGAAACCATCACTTTTTGTTGATGTGGTTAAGCCTGCGATCAAATTGGCATATCATCAATCCTGGGGGAGCTTTTCAGTCAAGTGAAACTGAAATTCATGCACACAATGTCAATTGAATATATGATAACCCTTTACGAAAAATAAATCAAACACAGTTGTTTTAGACATAGAGATAGCTACAAATGAGGTAGATCGGCCTAGACACTCTCCAGTAATGACCATTGCACGATGTCCAGCAGCGGTTGTTCTATAACACTCATGAAGATAGAACAGGTGTACTGAATTGGCAACCGCCTCAGAAACTCAAAATCGATCTATATATCGAAACATTTACATGAAACTGGTTTTAAGCCATGCAATGTCTCGTGATAACTTGGTAACTTGCTAGGAATTTATTGAAAATGAAAGCAAATCTCATTTTTAAATTCCAGAATCTCATTTTTGTTTGATCATATCGAAGCTCATAACTTAACTGTTACTAACACCCTTGCGCAATAAAACTGATTATTGGGGGAGGATGATAAACAGCTCAAACGTTTCTTGAAATACTTGTCAGGGGTATGAAGACCAATTGCGACCTTTTTCACTGTGATTAAGATGATATTTGGATCTAATTAGATCAGCACCTGTGAATTGAAAGGCGAGGTCACGGAGGGTATGTACAGATAATACCATTCAGACAGAACTGAAGTGTATTTGGAACGTTTTCCTTCAAGACAGATACCCAGACCCAGATTTGTGGGCAACATTTTGGGGTTTTACCGGTTGTCGAGTAAGATCACAACTGCTGAGAAGAAACCCCTACCTTTCAGGGTGACACAACTGTCGAGATGGTGATACATAAACTAAGTACGGTTGTAGAAAGAGCATTTCTCGCAGAAAAAGTGCGTAGTGTGTTCATCTCCAGGCCATTCTATGCTTTCAACTTATAGATAAACTACCTGTTTCTGTGGTCTTTTGCTGTTTATGTGTGCCTATTTATCTGTTCCTGTGGGGTAAGATATATTGGCCGCATGAGTAGACGCTTATCTGAATGAGTCCGTAATTACCACCTGGTCTGGTTAAGTAGTAAAGTCATTAAAACTATCAAGAGTTTGATCGTCTCACAACTAGTGAAATCTAACCACCAAGTTAATGTGACCTACCTAGTTCGCAGCCGTCAATCTAAGAGGATTAAGAATCACATCCTGACCACAGCGGAAACGATCGGAATCCGCCTATATACTCCCCCATGCTCCCCGAAAACAATTCTCACGAACACTCGGTCTGCAATGGTCA